TCGAGAACCAAACCTCTGTTCAGTTACAGGACTTCAGACAAGAGGCTTACAAACTGACCACGGTACGGGTGGGGATTGAACTCACGGCGAGTCGTAAAATCTCCAGGATAGCGCATAAGCCACTGGGCCACCTGGCTACAGCTAGATTCATCCATAGGGAGGTTAGCATGGGCCACCACTGTGACCACAAATGCAAGATTTATAGATGAATCTCCCGAAGTTTCAGTCGTAAACACCTGATGGCTATCATCAGCTAGTATTGCATAACCTCAGCTGAAGAGAAAACACGGGTACGTTTCGACCCTGAGACTTTCGGTCCCAATACCAAAACGTATCAAATAAAGACGCCCTAAGTGTGCCCTTGCAACCAAATTTTCAACATTATTCTACCTTCACAATTTTCTTACACTTCTTTACCATCAAACTCATCTTGTTTATACACAGCTTCAAGTATACGTAACATTCGCTAGTTTACATGGAGTTTACCTGGAGTTTACCTGGAGTTTACCTGGAGTTTACCTGGAGTTTACCTGGAGTTTACCTGGAGTTTACCTGGAGTTTACCTAGAGTTTACCTGGAGTTTACCTGGAGAGGGTTTCTGAGGTCAACGCCCCCGCGGCTCGGTCTGAGACCAGGCCTCCTGGTGGATCAGGGTCTGGCCAACCAGGCTGTTACTGCTGGCCTTTGTTACGATGGAACCTTGTTCTGTAATCTCTCTTTCCTAGAGAAGAGAGAGATTACATCTTACTACCATTATCGGCAGTAAGATGTTTTGATTTGCATTCACCTCTCCAGAAAATCTCTGCCAAGTCTTTACCACGTGTTTCGAACAGCTTGTCGTACTAGGGCAACGTTTCGCTCTGTGCATACTTCTATCAAGCAACACAGTTCGATGAAGTCAGAGTTAAAGCTTTATCAAGTCATATGACTTGATGAGGCTGTTTACAAAGCGAAACGTTGTCCAAGAGCTTGTTCTGGAACGTTTCAGTCTGAAGCCTTCCGAAACTTTCACAATCTTAAAGAACTGCCAGAGAAACGTGCAACACTTGGGTACATTTACGGACCACAATAAACACACACAAGTGTTGCACAAATGGCAACACTTGGGTACATTTACGGTCCACAATAAACACACACAACTGTTGCACAAATGGCAACACTTGGGTACATTTACGGTCCACAATAAACACACACAAGTGTTGCACAAGTGGCAACACTTGGGTACATTTACGGTCCACAATAAACACACACAAGTGTTGCACAAGTGGCAACACTTGGGTACATTTACGGTCCACAATAAACACACACAAGTGTTCCACAAGTGGCAACACTTGGGTACATTTACGGTCCACAATAAACACACACAAGTGTTGCACAAGTGGCAACACTTATCAACCTGTCTGTGTTCTTAACCAATTATAAAATAATTTCTGCCTCTTCTTACCAGTTTCCCATCATCATTCTTGTCATTTTTCTCTCAATGCTCCTCCAGGATACCTAATTGAATCCTGCACCGGGAATTGGATCCTCCTCCAGGAATCAGATGCTCCAAAGTAATTGGATCCTCTACTAGGAATTGGATCCTCCATCAGTAATGGGATCCTCCACCAGGAATTGGATCCTCTACTGGTAGTTGGATGCTCTACCGGTAATTGGATACTCAGCCAGTAATTGGATCCTCCACCAGTAATTGGATTCTCCAAAGTAATTCGATCCTCCAAAGTGATTTAATTTTCCACAAGAAACTGGATCCTCCACAGGTATTGGGATCCTCCATCAGTAATTGGATCTTCCACCAGAAATTGGATCCTCCAAAGTAATTGAATCCCCCAAAGTAATTCGATCCTTCAAAGTGATTGGATTCTCCACAAGAAACTGGATCCTCCACAAGTAATGGGTTCCTCCAACAGTAATTGGATCCTTCACCAGGAATTGGATCCTCAACCAGAAATTAGATACTCCAAAGTAATTAGATCCTCTACTAGAAATTGGATCCCCATCAGTAATTGGATCCTCAACCAGGAATCGGATCCTCTACTGGTAGTTGGATCCTCTACCGGTAATTGGATCCTCCACCAGTAATCGAATCCTCCAAAGTAATTGGATCCTGCAATGGACGTTAACGAAGTAAGATTATCCCTAAAACTTTATATATATATATATATATATAATATTATATATAATATATATATATTTTATATATATTATATATTATATTAATATATATATATATATATATATATTGTAGATCCTGAGTTCGATTCCCAGGTTAGCTGAGCTGTACGAGAAGCTCACCTGTGACATACCTATGACTAGTTTCGAGAGTTCCTCTACCTTCGCAGACCAACCTGAGGCTAGGTTTCCCTGTGGACTGACTGGCTGCTTGGCCCACCTAGTCATCAAAACCTGACTGATGAAGCTCCCTCATGAGACATTAGTCGAGTGAAAACTTCTGTTTCTGTTCTAGCAATATTTTTGACATCTGTTGGTAGTAGGTTGAGCAGTCTTGCAACACGGATGTTGACGTAGTGTTCTCTAATTTGGCCTATGACGCCCCCTGTTTTTCACTCTTCCCATCTATCTATTTATCTATATATCTATCAGTCTAAATCTGTCTGTCTGTCTCTCTCTCTCTCTCTCTCTCTCTCTCTCTCTCTCTCTCTCTCTCTCTCTCTCTCTCTCTCTCTCTCCTTCTCTCTCTCACACTCTCTCTCTCTAATAAGTTCATTATAGTCATGTACAGATTATAAATTAGGTCCTCAAGCATTTTCATGTATATATAACCAGGAATCTCTTTTATCTCCATTCTATACAGAATAAATCAAGAAATATGAGACGTTGCCGCAGTTTAGATGACTCACCTGATAATGTGACAAATCACGAAAGCACTTTGTTTTTCACTATTTTTACTGCGGTTTGTGCATATGTGTATATACCCTTAATATAAGTTGTGGCGGATTTCCTATATTGGGTCATAAATCCCCATGTGACTAAAACTATATTATCTTCCGTTACTGAAAATAGTGATAATCTTAAAAGAAAATAATCATAATCTTAAGAAATAAGTAATAATCTTAAGAAATAAGTCATAATCTTAAGAAATAAGTCATAATCTTCAGAAATAAGTCATAATCTTAAGAAATAAGTCATAATCTTAAGAAATAAGTCATAATCTTAGAAATAACATAATCTAGAAATAAGTCATAATCTTAAGAAATAAGTCATAATCTTAAGAAATAAGTCATAATCTTAAGAAAATAAGTCATAATCTTAAGAAATAAGTCATAATCTTAAGAAATAAGTCATAATCTTAAGAAATAAGTCATAATCTTAAGAAATAAGTCATAATCTTCAGAAATAAGTCATAATCTTAAGAAATAAGTCATAATCTTAAGAAATAAGTCATAATCTTAAGAAATAAGTCTTAATCTTAAGAAATAAGTCATAATCTTAAGAAATAAGTCATAATCTTAAGAAATAAGTCATAATATTAAGAAATAAGTCATAATCTTAAGAAATAAGTCAGTAATCTTAAGAAATAAGTCATAATCTTAAGAAATAAGTCATAATCTTAAGAAATTAAAAAAGTCATAATCTTAAGAAATAAGTCATAATCTTAAGAAATAAATCATAATATTAAGAAATAAGTCATAATCTTAAGAAATAAGTCATAATCTTAAGAAATAAGTCATAATCTTAAGAAATAAGTCATAATCTTAAGAAATAAGTCATAATCTTAAGAAATAAGTCATAATCTTAAGAAATAAGTCATAATCTTAAGAAATAAGTCATAATCTTAAGAAATAAGCCATAATCTTAAGAAATAAGTCATAATCTTAAGAAATAAGCCATAATCTTAAGAAATAAGTCATAATCTTAAGAAATAAGTCATAATCTTAAGAAATAAGCCATAATCTTAAGAAATAAGTCATAATCTTAAGAAATAAGTCATAATCTTAAGAAATAAGTCATAATCTTAAGAAATAAGTCATAATCTTAAGAAATAAGTCATAATCTTAAGAAATAAGTCATAATCTTAGAGGTCAGTTCACATCATATAAACACCGTCCGTAAACTTGTATACATTAAACAAAAGTTTGGCTTCTTATCTCAGTTTCAAAGTAGTCGTTCCTTCTTAAGACGTGACCAGATAGGTGTTGTTCATTATATATTTTAATTTATTCTCTGCTATTCCTGACTACTTATGTAAGGTTTGTTTGTAAACAGGACAATTGTTTCCTGTCACGGGTTTTAGTCATGTGATGACCCGCAGCTAGAGCTTTTGGTCGTCTGACCGAGGCCTTCTACTGGCTTACCGGTCCACTTCTTTAAAAAATATGGCTATGATTATGAACATTAGAGATACCTTGTAAGGAGTGTGGACCAATAAATCCAGCGGAAGACTGGATTCACATGACCTAAAAAATCTCCAGTGACTAAGCTCCATTTTCCATTTCTCCTGGTAAAGAAAAACCCCAAATCCCCCTTAGCAATCTCTACTAAATCAGGTATCACATGACTAACGTTCGTTAAAATCAATTTTACCCATTTCGTCTGACGGTCAAAACACATCATGATCTATTCTGCAGACACAGAATCTTAAACACAAGTTTTATATATGTCAAATCGTTCACACAGCCTCGTGTATAACAGTTATTCAGTTGATAAATCCTTATTCCGTTCTCTTCAGAGCGACAGCTGCTTCCATTAGCATGAGGATGAGCGGTCGTCCCACATAACAGTCCTGGATAATGGAGTTAACTTGGTAATAGTTCTCAATTCTCCTCGCCGCTCGCCAGCTGATGCTCAACTCTGAATATTCATAATCTCATACTCCATCACGGCAGCCAACAAAGGAATCAATACTGACATGTCTCTTATTTTCATGTCCAAATGTATCTGTACTGACAAGTCTCTTATTTTCCCGACGAAATATACCGCCACTGACAAGTACTCTTTATTTTCGTAGGCTTACGTATTTGTGCGTGTTCTCCACACAGTGGCTGATACGACTGGACACAGAGCGCTGCCTGTCATTGTTTACATCCACGGTGAGAGTTACGAGTGGGGCGCCGCTAACCCTTATGACGGCTCTGTGCTGGCTGCCTACGGTGAAGTCATCGTGATTACTCTCAACTACCGCCTTGGTCCTCTAGGTAGGTATTACTTTTGGTCCTCTAAGTTACTTATACTTGCAAGTTTTGGTCCTCTAGGCTCAAAACCACTTTTAGTCTTCTTAGTAGGTAGCAAAACAAGGTTTTAATCTTCAAGTTAAGGTAAGGTTTGTTTGGATTTTTAACCCGGAGATTTAGTCACCCAGGATAACCCAAGAAAGTCAGTGCGTCATCTATGACTGTCTGTCTTATTTCCATTGTGGTCCTTTAATCTTGCGCTCCAGGATGCGACCCACACCAGTCGACTAACACCCAGGTACGTAATTACTACTAGGTAAACAGGAACAGCAGGTGTAAGGGAACTAACACCCAGGTACCTAGTTACTGCTAGGTGAACAGGGACACCAGGTGTAGGTGACTAACATCCAGGTACCTAGTTACTGCTAGGTGAACAGGGACACCAGGTGTAAGGTGACTAATATACAGTACCTACTTACTGCTAGGTGAACAGGGACACCAAGTGTAATGTGACTAACATCCAGGTACCTACTTACTGTTAGGTGAACAGGGACAGCATGTGTAAGGTACCTACTTACTGCTAGGTGAACAGGGGCAGCATGTGTAAGGTACCTACTTACTGTTAGGTGAACAGGGACAGCATGTGTAAGGTACCTACTTACTGTTAGGTGAGCAGGGACAGCATGTGTAAGGTAACTAACACCCAGGAACCTAGTTACTGCTAGGTGAATAGGGACAGCAGATGTAAGGTAACATGCCCAGCATTTCCTCCCGTGCCGGGAATCGAACCGCTGACACGCAGTGTGAGAGGCGAGAGTGTTGCCAACCAAGCTGTCTTTTAATCTTTCATGATGGTTCAAAAAATTAGTTTTGGTCCTTTAAGTAGCAAAAAAAATAATTTTAGTCTTATAAGTACATTTAAAAAATATATATATTTTGGTTCTGTAAGTAGGTTCAAAAATCAATTTTGGTTTTATAAGTAGTTTCAAAAAATCAGTTTAGATAGGCTCAGAAATCCTCTTTAATTATCTTAGTTCAGAAATAAGTTTTAGTCATTTTGGTAGGCTCAGAAACAATTGTTTAGTAATTTAGGCACATTACTTTTCTAGATAGGTTCGAGAACTACTTTCAGTAATCTAGAAAAGTTCAAAACCAGTTGTCTCGTCTAGGTAGGTTCTAAAACCCTTTTTAGTCACGTGGTTGCCTCACAATATCTTTTTGTTATCTTAGAAAGGTTTGAAAACAAGTTCTCTAAAACTCGAAATAAGTTTTAGAAACCTAAGTTGAAAAACCAGCTTTCGTCAGCTAGGTGGGTTCAAGAGCCCGTTTTAGCTATCTAGACAGCTCTTAAAATTAGTCTTACTGACGTTTTGAGGGATTTAAGGTATATTGTGGTGTTCTATATACAGCAGAAACAAAAATTATCGAAATTTTAAATGAGATTTGAGCTCTAGACATATCCAGTATCCCCTGTTAGTATCTTGCCTAATTCTAGTAACCACTAATGCTCTCTAGTAGCCTATCTTAGCTCTCTGGGTAACTCTAGTAAAAATACAAATTCTCGAGTAAAGTCCAGAAATCGCTCTTAATCAATTTAAGTTTACTAACCATTTATTCCATCTAGATTCACTAACTGATCGTATAGGTACGTCCTATAACTAGTTTTAGTACTCTAGGTTATTATTAAATTATTATTATTAGTATTTTTATTATTATTATTATTATTATTATTATTATTATTATTATTATTATTATTATTATCAACACATCACCCGTCTCCCACCGAGGCAGGGTGACCTAAAAAGAAAAATGAAGGGTTTCTCTTTTTAAATTTAGTAATATGTGCAGGAGAAGGGGTTACTAGCCACTTGTTCCCGGCATTTTAGTCGGCTCTTATGACACTCATGGCTTACGGAGGAAGAATTATTTTCCACTTCCCCATAGAGATAACTGTTGTTGTTGTTATTATTATTATTTTTCTCCAAATATCTACCCTAAAGTTAGATATGCATCCGCTGGTTAGCTATATCAGCTAATAAGATCATATATACCTGGATAAATTAAAGTTTATATATGTCCAGATACTATAACACAAAATAGAATAACATAAAATATTATAGCATAAAGTAACATATGGATCAGCGGAGCTTTGTCTAGATATAATCTAAGATAAACTAGAAAAGACACAGAAGAGAGCACACGTTTCTTTTTTTGGGGATATATTTCCTCTTATCTCCATGGGGAAGTGGAACAGAATTCTTCCTCCGTAAGCTATGCGTATCGTAAGAGGCGACTAAAATGCAGGGAGCAAGAGGCTAGTAACCTCTTCTCCTGTATAAGTTACTAAATGCTATAAGAAGACAGGTTTTAGCTTTTTCTTTTGAGTTCAACCTGCATAGGTGGGAGACGGCCGCTGTGTTAAAAAAATGCATTGCTCTGTGTAGAGGTTTATCGTTTAAGATAGCTTAGGTTAGGTTAGGACTGAACACATCGACTCAAGGTTGAGGGACTGATTACCTCATTC